GTTTAGGGTTTAGGGTTTCTATACAACACTGACTAAACCTTCAACCTGGGGTATTCGTCTTCATCTTCAACTGAGAGGCTTGACTCACTAAGGCTAAGGGGCCTCCCAACAGGGGTATGAGCACAAGCAGCTTACAGGGATATCACTACTTTATATTGGGCTTCTGTGCTTTTGTTTTTTTTGGTGGGCGAGGCCCTATCCATGTTCACGTGATAGTTAGAGCTGCAGTACTTGCCTTAACTGGGGGCCTTCCTGTTTCTAACTTCTGCTGCGACTTACGACCACAATGCCACGTCAACCTTCAGCACCTCCCCGTTCCCGCAGCTTAATTAGGCTTGCAACACTCAACTCTAAACCCGAAAAACTCCCAACCCGAACACGCTCTCCAGCGCGGCCGAGGGGCGCTGAGTGTGAGCCTGTCAGCTTCTTGGGGGGATTTTCAGGGGTCGAAGACTGGGTTCAGGCGCTTCAGGGACTCGGCTTGAGCTTTGAGGGTACAGGAATTCAGGCGTTTCAGTTGCGGGCCTCAGGTTTGGGGTTCAAGTTCAAGCTACCAGTCGGCGTATCTGGAGGGGAATATTCCAAAAAAGAGTTAGATCGAAGTCAGGCACTCTAGAGAGGATTGCAAGTTCAGGGTTTGCTATGTAGGGTTTAACTGGGGGGGCCCGGCATATCTCCGCACCTTGCTTTCTACTAGGACCGAGGGCAGTTGCAGCCACTTTCCCAAGCGCAAGGCAGCTGAAGTACCCACATGAAAAACTCCCAGAAAGCCTGAGCTCAAACCCATAGGCCCGGTAGTAGTTCTTTTCTTGGGGGGTTACCTTATAGGATTCTATCTATATATATATATATATGAACCCCAAAAAGGAACTACTTTAGGGAGTATGGGTAACCCCGAAACGACCCTCAGCCCTCAACCCCCAACCCTTAAATTTAACAGCGGTGACGCGCTTTCAACTCTCGACACCCCGTCTCAGCCATGCAACGACCAGCCCACAGTCAGCGCCACCAGCCGCAGAAGCCTGAAGTGATGTGCAAGATACGGTTTAGTACGCTAAAGGGTTGGAGGGGCTAGGGTTTCGGGTCCCTAAACCCTAACCCCTAAACCCCAAACCCCGTTGGTTTTTGTCGGGCTCGTTTTCCACCTGCTGGGAAGTGGGAAGCTTCTGAACTAAGAGCCAAGATGGGGGTCTCTAAAACCGTAAACTTGAAACCTTAAAGTTTAGGAGGGTTAGGAGGTTTAGTAGGTTTAGGCTAAGCCGAATAAACTTCCTCAACCTCCTAAACCCCTAAACCCCCAAACCCTAAACCGTCTGAGCCCTAAAGCGCTAAACCCTAAACCCGTAAACCCCCGAAGCACCCCTTTGAAACCCCAACCGTCGAGCGCACGGCAACGGGCCAAAGCTTTCTGAAGTCTCAGGCAACGCATTAATGTAGGGTTCAGGGTTTAGGGTTTATAATTGCCAATACTATTTTTTTGGGGGGGAGGGTCCTTATTATAATTATAGTATAATAGGCCCCAAAACCCTACAATAACTATTAAGGCCCCTACATTACCAGGACATTGACAGGGTTTGGGGAATAGGGTTTAGGCCGGTTTAGGGTTTGGGGTTTAGGGCTTGAATCAAATAGGGCTGAAAGTGATGCAGAACTCTTCGAGCGTTCTGAAGCGCAGCATATGCAACAACTTGGGATGCGACCCTTCCAGATATACTAGCACTGGAGAACAAAAGGCAGTAATTATGTCCTTGTAGGATGTGATCTGTCGGGACTGGCGAACAAGTGTCGACGGCAAACATACAGTGTAGAGTGGGCGGGACTTCATTGGCAGCCGCAGAAATAACAAATCATCCGCATCGTCTCCCTCATCATCATCATTATCATCATCATCATCATCATCACGATCATGATCTCAAGTGGTGGAAGTGTAGAGAAGCAGCCGTGAAGACAAAGGGCGACGCGACGATACTAGTTTGTGTGCTCTCGCATGTGGTATGTGTGTGTGGGAGTGTGCATGAACCATGTAAGTGAGGTAGAATTTACGTTAGTATTGATGCATGTATGTATGTATGTATGTATGTATGTATGTATGTATGTATGTGTGTATGTATATATGTAATGTATGTATGTATGTATGTATGTATGTATGTATGTATGTATGTATGTATGTATGTATTAATGTAATGTATTAATGTAATGTAATGTAATGTAATGTAATGTAATGTAATGTAATGTAATGTAATGTAATGTAATGTAATGTAATGTAATGTATGTATGTATGTATGTATGTAGTGTATGTAGTGTATGTGTGTATGTATGTAGTATTGGTCATGTAAAGATGATAGTTTGGTTTCACAACTGGTGCCTGCGAAGGGGGTTCTCGTCGAATCTTGCACTGAGGCTCCGATGTGATTCTGCATTTGGTGCCCCAGCATGTCCCAAGCGGGGCAGTTGAAGGCACCCATGACTTTCTATCCGACGAGTGGCTTCTGTACCATACCACCTCTATGAGACACGTATGAGAGAACCCTGGTCACAGGTGCCTTGTGCATCGTACATGATGTCACAGCACTTCAGGCACGTGGGATCTGAACTGGTGAAAAGTATCCACCTGGCCTTCACATTGGCTGGAGAGTGCAGAGCTGTGCAGTTGGTCAACAGATCCATGGTCAGCCTGGAGGCATCTGTCGAGACGTCTGCGCGTGTGGCACGGGACATGCGTCGCATTATCGACGAAACTCGGCTGCGATGATCTGTGATATCAGAGCCCCCCCAGACTTCCAGTGACCGTGCTTCGGAACGACCTCAAAGTCCTTCCAAGAGTGCGACTGTGCACCAGCTAAAGAGATACTTTACTCAGGCTTGCTGGGGAGATGCCACGAATGCGGATTTGATGACCAACTCACAAAGGGATTTTTATGGTTGTGCGTAGTTGTTCCCGACATAGTAGTTCCCATTGTGGGTCAGCATAACACGTACGAGCTGGTGCGGTTGATCTAGCCAGATGACTCAGCTCGACTGCCGCGGTCCTGAAAATCCGAGCTTTTGCTGTGGGTTGGCTGGAATGTTCTGATCCGAGGATGCACGAGTACCAATTTTCGGCATTGATTGCCACGGCCAGGTAAACGAGTGGAATAGTGCCTTGTCGGCACTTTAGCTTGTACAGCGCATTTCAGGGTAGTTTCGCCGAAATGCAGGTGCGTCCGCAAAGCTACTGGGCTTCAGCAAAGCGCAGGCGGCTCACCGGGTGCAACTTTCAGAGAAACACTGGCCGGCATGATCCAACAGGGGAGGGAGATGACGCCCTTCCCTGCTCGGCACCGGAAGACTAGTGGTCAGACCCCGCTGTTGCAGTGGTGAGATGTTCTCTGCCATCTTGGCTCAAAGACGGGGTGGAGGTCTCCAGGGTGCCTTAGAGGAGCCCTGTGAGATTACTTCACTTGCCTTGTCACGTTCTACTTTGTATCAGGCCTTCTTCCGGTGCGCTCCTCGGCTGGGGCGTCAATGCCTTCTATAGGTAGTTATTGGTAAAAAATTCGATTTTTCCATTTTCGCGCGCGTGTGTGCAGGTCTGGCATGCAGGCCCGTGGGCACGCTGATTCTCAGAATTGCAAGCGTTTGCCCGAGTAGTAGTAGGATTAGTAGGGGAGGTTTAGTACTGAATCGAAGAGCGGTCATGAGACCAGCTTTGCTGTCTCGCCTGGTTGAAGGATACATTCGATGCCGGCTGCTTGCTCAGCTTGGGGGTTCTTGTCCGCCTGGCGGCAGCAGCGATCAATTACGTAACAAGGCAGCAACCAGTCGTTACTGTACTGGTAACAACTGGAGCACAGCAGGTGAAGCGGCATACTTGCATTGACAACTCAGGAGATATATTGCATGCTGGACGGCGCCTTGATTGCATTAATTAGACCGGCAAAGGCTGCGTCAAGACGGCATGCACGAAACCTTGCTCAAGGTTCAACGTCGGACGTTCCCAGCATCACGGAGCTCTCAGATTATGCTACTTGATCTGGGCAGTATCCGAAAGAAGAGTGAATGCAAGTATTGGACTTGTGAGCTGGATAAATCAGAAACTAGTGTGTCTTGGCACTGGTCAAAGAATTGCTTGCAGGCGACTGGCAATCTCGGTCCTTGGCGCTATGCTCTGTCACTGCTGTCGGTGGTCTTTAGCTTCCCGGCTAGGACTTATGGGGCAGGCGAGGGCGATGGTGTTGGTGGTAGTGGTGGTGGTGGTGGTGGTAGTGTGGCGAGCTAAATAAGCCGGGGGTTGCTAGATGTGCAAGAGGACTTTGGAAATCGGGAATGGTATAGAACACTCGATATAGAGCGAAATCAAGTTTCCTTCTTGCGGCTGAGCAGGCGGTCGAATTAGAAGCATCATCGATTTTGGTGTGTTTTGTTCCAGGCTGCCTCTCAATTGACTCCTGCGGAGACAGCCGAGCGAACCGCAGGCAGTCGGAAGGCAGCCCAAACCTTCTTTCAGTTGTTTGTTCGCCATTATAGAGAAACCAAAAACCCGACTGGCTCCCACAGAGACAGCAGGGAGCCACCCGGGCAGCTAGGATCCAGCCCTGAAGGGCCCGCGACCTCGGATTCTTTCAATATGCCAGTCTTACTTGACTAGTTTATTGTGAAATATGTTAATGAAAAGTTAAAACGATAAGTATGTTTAAAGCAAATTGCAAGAATCAAGGCGAGGCTGCCTCCGACACCGAACTTGTGGAATTATCCTATTTTTTCAGGGGTCCCAGGATCCAGGAGCCACCCGAGATGCAGCTCGGGACAAAGGATTCTTGATTTTCAATTTGAAGAAGGGCACTGGAATTGTCGTTCGACATTTATTCCGTTCCATTAAGAAACGGGGTTCCATTATAAGAAAGTAGAAATGCAGGGTCTCCTGGTTCCCGCGGAGACGCCACATGCAGGCAGCCGACCGGATCCTTTTAATTTCCATCGGGCTGCCGCTGCAGTGCTGCGCACCTTTTGTTCGCTTCCCGAAGTCATGCTTCCATGCGCTTCGCATTGCTTCCCCCCCATCGGTGCGGTCCACATTCTGTTCGCGACTCTGGTGGGGCCCGGGGTCGTGTTCTCGCCACAGCGTGGTGGTCCGAGGTTTGCCCTGAGCCATACAATCGGCCCTGCTCTCACCAACTTGGATGATCTTCTATGATTTTCCCCTTGGCTCGTCTTGAGTCTTGGGTGGCGCCGTCGGCCTGCCGGCATGTGCCCGTGCTTCTGACATCCGATGCTCCACCGCCCCAACATTCGCTACATCAAAAGCGCGAGCTGGCCATCGCTTTACTAGGGGAAGTGTTCGACCGCAAAGCTTGTAACGCCCTGACTTCGGAGGGCCTTTCCCCGTGTTGCTGTTGATGTTTTGCCCCTTGCCACAGGCGTTTCCGGATAAGGTTGCCAAAGCCCTGTGTGTGTTCCCGCCCCGCACTCGAGACCCGTTGAGCAGCACGGAGCAGCTGGCTACGATGGCCACTTGCTTATACAGTGGCAGGCCTAGAGTGGACCCGAAGGCCAGGTCCACCTCCAGATCGTCGTTTTCCGTCGTTTGGCTCAGTTCGGTGCTGGTGTCCCGGCTGGTGCCGAAACTGCTGTCCACACGCTGCGAGCCTGGCAACCGCACGATTTGCCGAAACTCGATTTTCGGATCGTGATGCTCGCAGCAGTGGCTACCCACCTCCCGACTTTAGCACGGCATGTCCGAGAGTGAGTGCCGAGACGTGGACAGGAGTTATTTTTGGAACCTACCCGTAATGGACTGGTTCCCAGAATCCCGAAACCTAGCAGGATACGATGAGTGACCAGCCGAAAAAAACGAAGAGGAGTGCGAGGTGTGACAACCAGAGGGCAGCGAGGCCAGGACGAGGAGCTCTGTAGCCTTTAGTTGGTCATGAACCCTTCGCCTCTGGCGTCAGGGTACGAAAGCTACTCCAGTCTAAGTAAAATGTAAACCCAGTCAGTTTCCCATACCTGAGACTGGGTTTTCCAATACTCGTGATCGCAAAATTCTTGTTGGGTCGCAGTTGCTGAGGTGATGCTTGTTGCGGCCTCGTCCCTTGGATGTTTTCTCATGCTGGTGGATGGCGCCCCCGGGGTTCTCATGCTGCGCAGTGGTGCCTGCTTGCCCAGGTGTTGATGCATGCTGCAGTGCAGTGGCGCAAACGTCAGGTCTGCGGGGCCCAGCTCCAGGCAAGTTTGTGCCTTCGGTTGTTGTGGCAAAGCTCTTGGCAAAGCTCTCTAGCGTGTTCACTTGTGAACCCTGGAGGCCTTGGTGGGCGGCAGCTGTATTCTAGATTTTGTGCAGGCTGTAACCACGGAGTTCAGGCTTCATTATGTTCTGATCCAGATGGCAGGGTTCACAATGTCCTTGACGTTGCTGAATGTCTTGATCGTCCTGGGCCGCACTGATGGACTGCAGCGCTTGTGGACAGCCTACTGGACCTTCGCAGCCTTGATCCTCGACCTCCTTCTGGTGGCGGCACTGCACAACGAGTGGATACGGCTTTCCCTCAGCTGGACAGGGCTGGAATACTTCGGCCTGGTGCTCTACACAGCGGATGCTTGCAAGCAGAGTGAATGAACTTGAGCTACTAGGCTACTAGCTCGTTTTCCTGACGCGCTGCTCGGAGCCGTGTTTGAGGTCATGGTGCAAATTGGGGGCTTACTTCCAGCTGCCACCGTGAAGCTCGGCTGCTTGCCACATGTAGTTTCGGATGAATCATCAAAGGCTTTGCTGCCACAAGTTCACAGAAGCAAGCTGCCCAAGAGGGCAGCCGTTTGAGTCGCTGTGGCCGGACCATGTTTGGTCCCTCTGCCAATTCTTTGGTCGTCCTTGCATGCACGCGGAGTCCAAAAATCGTTCAAAGACCAGCCGGCCGTTGACTTTGCAACAGACTCACGGCTATTGTCCATGGGTTCTTAAAGCAGACCATGCAGCACGTCTGTCAGACTCCGACCGTAAAGACGTTTGCACAGCGGGCAGGTCTTTGGCCGACCCCTGGCAAACTTTTTTTCAGACGACCCTGGCTTCACTGATGCAGCCTCAGCTTTCTACGCCTTGCTGCATTAGATTGATGCCAAGCACAGAGTTTAGCTGTTAGCTGAGTGCTCCATGTGTGGCGGGACCTTGGGTGTTCTGCACACGTTGCTTGTCAGCTTGTGTGCCCGGAGCTGAGGTTGCAAAGTCATTCGACAGAGCCAGACAGGCCAATGCCGAACGCGGAAAGCTTTGTGCGGCAAACTCTAGAGTTCTCTTCTCCAGCGGAGAGTTGAACCCTGATGTTGTTTGACGTCGACCATGCCTTTGCGTGATGCTATTTGGTGCCACCTGCCTGCACTTCGCCGGCCAGGGCGAGGAAGTGCAGCCAGTTGCGGCGAGCATGATGGTGAAAGGCCTTGGTGGTATGAAAATGGCAAGCTCGTTGTATCAGCTGCTGGAGAGAATTTGGAGTGTTTCGCTTTGGGGTACTTGGCGTCTGCCGCTGCGGTTTCTCTTTCGCCAGCTCGATCTCTCTGCTTTTAACACGCATCCTTTCCAAGTGGCTTGCCGATCAGAGCCGCTTGTCGCTCTACAATCTCTAATGTCTCTACAGGATCCGTGTCTCGTTTGTTGTTCACCATGCCGCCCAGCCAAATTCGCGACATCTTGCCTTGTGAAGCCTTGGTCGGGCCTCGTCTTTGCATGTTTGTTCGGCGATCTGTCCGGTTGAACTCGGTTGAACGGTTGGGCGGGCGCGACACAGTGTGCGGCATGCGAACAACAAGCCAAGCAACACATTTTAAATGCGCGGCACAGTGCGCGGCAGCAACTTTTTTTTGCAAACCGGCCATGGAGAAACAGATTATTTTCGTTGCATGGTGTGCGGACAAGTGTTTGCACAGCAGGTAACACATGTATTTCTGTTACACAGTGTGCGGCAAGCATCAATCTGTTTGATGCAATCCGACCAGTGCACAGACAACTTTGGAATGAGCAAATGCGTCTTCGCCCGCCCACACCCACCCACACTCCACTCCCACTTCCACCTCCACATTCACAGCCCCACCACCCACCAACCCACATTCACAGCCACCCACTTCCAGATCTTCACGACCCACCCACCCAATCCACCCACCACTCACTAAAACCCACCCACGCCCACCCACAACCAAACCCACCCACCCAGCACCCCGCACGATTAGAGAAAAGGCAAGCGGAGATTCCATTAACGTCTCAGACACCAAACACAGGCGCGATATCATCACACACAGGCACATCCACACATCTGGCTGCATCTACAGTTCTGCACCACAACAACGGCACGCGGAAAAGCAAATCTATGCGAATATAGATGTTGGTGGTCCGGAGGTGTGGACGGAAACTTGTTGTGCTGCGGAGGTGGTGCTGAACAAGTGGCATGAGACGACTCGAGTGACTCTGGGTGTTTGCATTCTTGGTGTTGGCAGCACGTCAGTCTGGAGTGTGACATTGTGGCAAGATGGCATGCGGACACTTTGTTTGTTGGGTGGGGTTTAGGTGGTGTGAATGGGTGGAAATCGGTCGGTGGGTGTGGAGTGTTGGTGGGTGGGTGTGTGGGTGGGTTTGGGTGGGTCTGGGTGAGTGTAGGCGGCTGTGTATGTCGGTGGGTGTGGGTGCGTGGGTGGATGTGGGTGGGTGTGGATGGGTTTGAGGTGGGTGGTGGGTGGGTGGGTGTGGGTGGATGGTTTGGATGGGTGGGTCGGTGCGGGTGTGGGTGTGGGTGTGGGTGTGGGTGTGGGTGTGGGTGTGGGTGTGGGTGTGTGTGTGTGTGTGTGTGTGTGTGTGTGTGTGTGGGCGTGTGTGGGCGTGTGTGTGTGTGCCT